TTTTTTTTTTTTTAAAATTTATTTTTTTTTTTTTTTTTTTTTTTTTTTCTTTTCAAGTTAATTTTTTTTGCTTAAATTTTGAAATAATAAAATTTTTGTAGTGAATATTTTTTATCAAAGACTTTTATTCTACACGTGTGTTTTCTGCAAAAAAAAACAAAATATTTTAATAAAATTTCATATGAAAATACATAATTTTTCAGATATATTGTTTATTCACAATTTTTTTTAAAATGAAATTATATATAGGATTAGTAAAAAAATAATATATCTTTCATATAAAAATTTAAAAATATTTAATTTTCAGTTTATATTTTTTGAAATATTTGTGAGATAAGCTTCTCTTTTATATTTCGTTTTGTTAAAGATAATTTAAAATATAGAATAACATGAAAATTACATTAACCCCCCAATTTTTTTTTTAAAAGAAAAACTCTACATATGAAAAGTGTAATATATTAGCATTAGTTTTTTATATATTTTTCTTCATAAAAAATAATAAATGAAAATTCATTTTACTTGAAAAATTCAATAGTTTTTTTCAAAAAAAATATGAGATTAGTGCACTTAAAAAGTACTTTATATTTTTCTTTTTATATTCTTTTAAATAATAAACATTTAAAATTAGGAGCTATATATGAATTAAATAAATTGGTAAATTTTTAAAACTAAATTAATTTCTTTTTAATTACTAAGTTTATTTAAAACAATAAGACTTTTTCAACTTTTTGCATTTCTAATATGTAGTAAGTCTCGAGAGTTTAAAAAAAAAAAATATATTTAAAATATTTGATCAACTGAAAAAATTATTTTATATTTTTTTTTATTATCCTTTATTGTTTTCACAATTATACATATTTGTTTATAAATTAATGAAATTACTTATAAAGTCATAGAAATACAATGTTAAAAGTTAGCTGATACGAATAAAATATCAATCAGAGGATACAAATTAAGTATCTCTTTTTTATATGTTTTTTATATTATAAAAGTTTAGAGGTTTTGGTTGCTAGCTTGTTTTATTTTTTTATATTATTTCTAAAGTTTAATACAAAAACTTTCTTTGATTATAAATTTTTTGATTATAGAGTTTTTTTTTTTTTTTTTTTTTTTTTTTAATGCACTTCAATTTAAAACTTTATAAATTTTTATTCTTTTTCAATGTATGTATATATATATATATATTTTAGTATATTTGTAATTATTTAAAATAATTATTAATGTATGTATCCTTCTTATCATACATATATACATATGTGAATATATAACTTTTAATATATATATGTATTTAATATATAAATAATTAAATATATGTATCCTTTTTAGGATTTATAATATATATTTCTTAATAATAATTTAGACAACGCTTAGTAAAAAATGTTGCACATGTATTTATTATTTTATTTTTTTTACAAACGAAAAATATATAAAATTTTGACATTTAAAAAAACATTGAAAGCACTTTTTTTTGAAAAAAGTGAAGGTAATATTAAAAATTTATATCATAAAAATAAAGATAAAATATGTGTAGGGTAAAACAAAAAGAGTTTAGTTAAAAAAAAAAAAAAAAAAAAAAAAATCTTTTTTATGATGTTTCTGAAAATAATTCAAATTATTTTTTAAAAAATTAAAAATAATATAAATCGAAAAAAAAATAATATAAATTATAGAAATACATTATCTTATAGTTATAAAATTAACAAAAAAAATTATACTACATGTATATATGTATTTATATATATTTATTTATATGTATAAGTATTTATATTTATTTATGTGTAAATGTAATTATATTTATATGTATTTATATAAATTTATATGTAATTATATATATTTATATATATATATATATATGTATTTATATATATATATGTATTTATATATATATGTATTTTATATATTTATATGTATTTATATATACGTACAAACTATCAATACACATGTATAAAAAATACATGTACAAAGTACACATGTATAAAATACATAGGATATAAAATACACATGTAAGTAGTACATATAATATTTTGTTTTTATGAAAAACAAATATAAAATTTCAAATATATAAAAATAATTATATAAAGAAAAAAAAATGTATTTATCGATTAATTATCTATTTTATATTATAAAAAAAAAAAAAGAAAAAAAAAATGTTATATATTGTATTAATTATTTTATATAATGCATATGCACATATGCACATATACATTATATATTAAATAAATGATGTGCAAAAAACTAGGTGAAATGCCAATAGTCATTTTAAAAAGATACACAAATATAACACATCGTGCACATTTTTTAATATATTTTTAATTTTTTAATTTTTTTGAGGAAATTAAAGCAGAAATAAATTTAAAATTTTTTTTTTTTTCTTATGCTTATGATTTATGAAAATAACAAAACAAAAATGGAGGAGAATACTTATCTTTTAAATGAATAAAAATAAGTAAAAATTTTTTTAATATATTTTTTTTTCTGTATTCTTACATTTTTTAAAGCAAAATTAAGTCTTTAAAGCATACACATGCTCATTTAAAAATTTATATTTTTGAAATTAAATTAAATTTGTCATTTTTATGTACGAAAAATACATTTTCTAATATAACCTATAAAGAATACAAAATAAAAGCTAATGATAACAGAAAAAAAAAAAAAAAAAAAAAAAAAAAAAAAAAAATTTTTTTTTTTTTTTTTTTTTTTTT